ATACTTTGAAAAAGATCACTGGGAAAAGTCAAGCCTTAGCAACGCACAATCCAAGAAGTTACTGTCAGCCTATGTTATCTAGGTTCAGCGTGAGCCCCTGATGCTCTTTGAATTTGACACGACATGAAGTCTGTTCACATGGGGAGCACATTGTCACTTCCCAGTCGGACTGCCTAGCTAAAATCTCTCTGTTGTTGTATCATGTCGAATAACATCTGCAAAGGAAGTTGGATTAACCAAGGTAATAGTATCCTAATGCGAACTGAGGCTCAGTTGCGTTTACCCCGTTTTGTTTTAACCTATGGGCACACTTGTATGGAGCCACAACACTACTCATGAGGTTTCTGAAAATTCTGTGACCGCCTACTGACCAGTTTCGCTCTTCTTGGGGCTCAACAGGCAGGAATATTCCTCGAGTTTCCGTCAATTTTATGTTCTACTTGAACCCAAATTGGACAAATTTAGATAAATAACCTCATTTTCATACAAATTTGGCTTTTGCAGAAGGCCCACCTGAATCTCCTGACACACATAAGTGAGGAAAAGCAAGAATTTTCAGCAACCTCATGAGTAGTGTGCTACGTCTGTACAGTATATTGCAACATAGCGAATGTCCTGTCAACTGAAACATGAAGCTGCCTGGCGCAGCATATACATTTGTTGAAGGACATAAAAAACGGGCGATTCTGCCGGGTTTCAGAAGAGTTTTCAGTGAAAACCCTTTTGATGCGCAAATGAGTCTTCATGAAGGGCACGCCGTTTTTGATCGTTTCGTGTGGGGATATGCCGCTGCCTGTATTAAGTTACCACACATCCCCTTTCACTTCATTTTCTTCCACTGCACACTTCCCCATGGTTTGGAGATGTGTATTTCTACCTGGCTATTGGCGAAGTGTTTCTATCGTTTTTTGCCAGCTATGCACGCCACAACAACCTATCATGCTACTCATGGTTTCATGAGTAGTCACAAAATACCGCACTTTCGCATACACTAGGAATAACCTATTGAAACGTTATTTAGCGACACTTCAAGTTTGCTGCTGGAGAGCACATTTCTTGAACCCAGCAATGTCTTGTTAGCTCAGTGTTTCTCACTGAGCGCGTTTCAGGAAACGGTAACTACTGTGCACCAAAGACGCGCATACCCACGCGTGACTTGATGGTTGGCTGCCTCGTATGCCAGGTGCCCCGGGTTCCAATATCGACACTGTTGATGGACTCCAGTGCAAGCGGGGTTCAAGTGCACCGTTTTCGCAGATGGGATGGACTATGCAGAATGATTCTATCTTTAAGGTGATAGGACCGTTTAACTGAATATGATATGATCACAAATCCATATGATGGTTAGCTTGTGTGCATGCAACACTGCCTAGAATCTTCTGTGTGAGACAGCCCGAAAGCCATTTCCTTGGTGATGTGTGCGCAGTCAGGCCACCAGAGTATACCGTTTGGAGTTGGAATATAGTCTGCATCTTTTGCTGATAGCAAATTAAAGAGACGTGTGGAGTCATGTGTTGCGTTCTGCTTGCCAGCATAGCTCATTTCGATCGAGTGTGATCGGTTCGGCCGTTCTATTTCTTGACTTACTGCTTGTGGAGGTTTTACTCATCGTTCAGATGTAATTTACAGTTTATATTCCTGGAGCGTCAGCAGTTTTTTACATGATGAATGCTTGCATATGTTTGGTCTTTTAAAATTCAGCGTTTGCCATTCCATCAGTTTTTTCATTAGCTATCTGTTTAGCGGTATAATTGAGGATTTTGGGGATGAGAGTTAATGACGCAGCTCTGTGGAAAGACCTGTAGCAACGAGAGCAAAGTAACAGATGGAAAAGCTTTTTTCAGAAACAGGTTTGTTGCTCATGGTCGATTCGATGCCTCACCCCATCACAAATTTATCGGTGCAATATCCTAGAAATTGGAAGTAACGATGACGTATCAGAGATACGGCAGCTCGGAAAGAAGGAGGGTAGGTGTTCGACACTTTCAAAAACCATTTTAAGATCAAAGTGTACAGTTCTTACGTACCCTACGAACACCGACTGTTTTGTCCTCGGTTGTGTGCTTCCGGTCTTTGGTGACAATCTTGCTCTCAAGAAACTCCAAGGGACTAACTGAGCCTACAACTGTCACGAGGACCGAGCCTCCAGGTAGTTCGTTGAAGAAACCAATGATTGACACGTATCAACAAGTTTAGATTCATCCATGAAAATTTGGAAGCAAACTGAATGCCATTCACTCAAAAATTCTAGACATTATTAGATGCTCTGGTTTTATGGAAGAAACGTCTGCTAACGTACAGCTGTCGAGGAGTTTTCAGCAACATTATAAGCAGTGTATTAGGGCTATACAGAGTATCCCGATAGCTTAATTATCGTGCAAATCGACCTAGTCCTGCATATTTGACTGTTTAGAAACATAATAAACGAGGGATTTAGCGGGACTTTGGGTGATTTGCCGTCAAAGCCATATTGGTACGCAAAAGAGCGTACTTTGCTAACTCTCACGAAGTTGTTTACACTCAGTAATTCCGGTTAAACCAAGCAAGCACATCGAACATTCATTCTGTATCAGCCTAATAGAACTTAAATCTTCATCTACAAAAGTAGGCAATTACTACGCGAACTACCAGCTGAGTTGTACCAACTTTCACAAATGCTGTACCATTTCCATTTCATAATATTATGTCATCGGTCGGTACGAAATCAGAAACCATTTTTGTAAGTCGGAACTCTATATGTCTTCCTAGAGTTAATGCAATAAACTTTAGTAGTTTTCTAGATTAAACGCGTAAGAGCGAATTGGAACTGTTCTTATTGATTTGGGGATCTCAAAAAGCTAACGTGAAATCAGTTCAGACTTGCGTTCATTGTTATTGAAGGGGTAAAGAAGATCATCATTCTGATCTACAGAAAACAGCAAAGCCGTTCGTAGTGAGCGCTTAAGCGACTAAGCCTAAGCAACTAGGCTGTAATCGTCTTTCTTGAGAGGCTGAATATTCCTGTTGATGCGAAAACTGGAGCTGAGCGGTTTCATTTCGTTCTCGATTGCACAGTCCTCGATTCTACTTTGTTGCGAGAGCTTTGCACTCAAATTTCTGTGATTTTGGTCCTCTGCGACTCGTGACTTTCAGCATGAGTTAGGCGGAAAATGATTTCGAAAATATGGATAGTTCAAATTTGCTGATTAGACCACTCTCCGTATCTATCTCAGAACATTAGTAGAAGAGAATTCCCTAGAAATTAGTTTCCATTGACAAATTCCTTATTCTTCGTGGCCTTATCGGTGGAGTTGACGCCACCATTTATGAGTAAGTACATTCTTTCTCGTTTGAGCACTAAACAACCCGATGAAAACATTGGACCGAATTGCTACAAATAATTAATTCGGTTCTCATAATCATTCCAAATAAGTCACAAGTGCTGTTTCATAAATCTCTTTACACCACCGAAATTAAGTAAGTAACATTTTAGCGAACCTGGAATTAAAACTTATTTTCTCGAGGTCTTATTCTGGAAGCACAGTCATACTCAATTTGGTGTCGTAAATTTTACTGGAATGTATGTTATCCCAACTTGGTAATGTGCCGCTTCAGTATGAATAACCCGTAAGGAATTTCGATGATAACACGCGGCGCTTTCCGAGGGTGGGGTGTCAATTGGAAGGCAGAATGCAAAACTTCAGGGTTTCTGATACGGAGTAATCATATTTTAACACCTATTAACTGTTCTATCTTTGTTCAGTCGTTAGTCAACCCTAATGCCCAGATGAATCACCTAGGTTCATGTGTTTATTTGCCATAAAGCATAAATTTCGCTGACCCGTGGCTCTCTTCTACAAGTGATGACATTCCCAGCTGATATCGTTTCCCTTGAAGTATCAGGATTCGAAGCTATCGATCACCATTCGAATAACAGGCCACCGTCTCTGAACATAGTAAATCCTGCCGAAACTGCCTAAATATTCCTTTATTTCTTTGGTATTCAGGTGTGCACTCACATGTATATGACATAATCTGACATTCAGCTGAATGGAACCACAATGCTTTCATTCCATTTAAGTCGTTTCTGTCGCTGCCAAAATTGGTCGTAAAACAATATTTTACAGCCTAACTTACCACATGTTATACTGCATGTACCTAAGCTGATCATGTTTGCTCGATGACCCACTGCTTTTCTTCAACTCAAAAGCTGTCCAAACATTACGCCTGCACCCCTTCTGTCTACCAGTTTTGATATCCGCCTCCAGAAGTGTTATAAATGAAGCACAGTGGAGATCACGGCTGCCGCGGGCCAAACTTGACCTTATGTCTAATGTCCACCGACTAACTGCATCAGAGGCAAGACAGACTAGGTTACGATTTCTATTCGACAAGTCGGAATCGGATCGTAAGTCATCACAACAGGTTCAAACGACACATCTGGACACTTATGGTCATATAGCCTGAGCGCGTACGTAATATGACCGGTATGGAAGGAGTGCACGTCACTTCCTAGTCAAACGTACGTCATACGCACGTGAAAGCTGGAGATCACCCACTGTATGTTTGGACCAATGTACGGACCAGCGGTTTGAGCAGGTCACGTCTTTGTATTGAATGTGTGAGTACACAGAGCAGAGCTCTACTGCCAGAATCACACACGTCCTCAGCGAAACGTGTCCTATTAACCCGTGTGTTCAAGCAACCCATTCACTCTATGGTCAGCTGCTGACTATCGTTCAGCTATTTGACCCGTTTTTGAGGCCGTTTCTACTTGCCCGGCACCATAGTTGTATTTTGCTTGATACCAGCCGACAAGAACGTGCAATGCAGTGATTTATTTTGGGAAAAGTAGGACGCGTTTAACAATACTGGAAGGGTGTGCAGACAACCAGGGGGAAAAAGGGGAACAGTGTTGACATAAAACTAAAACTGCACACTCCAACAAAGGCAGGGGGTGCCGTCTAAAATGCAATGTGGTGGGTAACAGAATTTGTCAGTTCAATCGAAATGTACGTTGTTGAATGCGTTGATGCACAAGGAAAGTTGGTGTTAAAACCTAATGGCTTATACTAAAGTATCTTACCTTCTAATCACAAGCTGTCTCTTCCTCCTTGTTTCGGAATCCAACGTTGTAAAACTCGTTGCTATCCCCAGTAAGCTTTTCTTGGAAGCGAAGTATCACTTTCCACGGTTCCGCTACGCGGTTCACCCAACTGAAATGAACCACTGGTATGTCCACGTGGTAAACATTTGTCGTGCAATCTTCAAATTCTTCGTGCTCTTCAATGAACGTACAGAGTGAACCTTCAAACATTTCGTTCACCTGGGAGAAATGGTGGACTGTGTTAAACGAATGCGCATTCTCAATGTCAATAGAAAATAACTCTCAGATAGGCAAGAGAATGGTTTCAAAATGGGATCACGGTATTGCTTCAGAAATACTTCGAACCCGACCCATTGTGCTCAGTATACGGCGGCTGTTCAGCGGTCAAATTTACTTGTCTAAATCATCTTAAAAGCAGCGGGATCAAAAAGAGTTTTAGTAAATACATCAACAGAAAGTGTATGTCACAGGGTGCGTAAATTCATTGAAGGTACCGACAATGCTTTTTGTGGAGTTTCACAAAAGCAGGCAACTTGTAGTGGACACTGGGAATATCACCATGAGTTCTGTAGCAAAAACATGGTAACCCATGGAAACGAATCTATCGGGAATAACCGTTCAACTCTAATAAGAAATCCTCTTCTTTATGTACTTGGTTGATAAACTCGGTATGATTTTTGTATCCGTTCGCCTTCTTTAGTACATTCAAAAGATTGTAATTGCTTGAAAGGCTCTTAATTGTCTGGCCAGAAAAAAGTGAAGGCTACATTTTCAACGAGCTTATTGTTTTTGGCCAAAAAACGATGCTCTGTTGAACTAGTTTGCCCGGATATGGTCACTCTCATGTCGAAAGGGACCCATGGCTAATTTTGAACCCATGCAGGCCATCAATTCATTCAAACAAATTTCATTGAAATGCCGCTTTAGACTTAATTAGTAAATTGCCACTTACCTTTGAACAGATTTTGGACCTGCCGGATTCGCAAGCCGACACTTGGAAAACTGCGAAAAACAAAAAGAAACGTTTCGAATTCTGTTGAATGAGCGGGTATGCTGAGCGGTCTACTGATCGCCTGTTATATACATAAAGGCTTTCGATCATACCTGTGGAAGTTTCATTTTTACGGAGTTGATGATTCTTCATTCATAATTTAGTAGGACGATAATGTACCGGTTCAATCCATTGACTTATTTTCAGTGATGTTAAAACCCACTTTCAAAAGAACTACTCCTTTCAACTTACGCAGTTTTCTGTATTGATCAGTTGGTGGTCCACTGTAGATTTTCACTGAAACGCAAAAAAAGGGGGGGGGTTAGTCACTTACCGATGGCTACATTAACGTTTTCTAATGATACTTATTTTCCAGCTTACTTTCCAGGAAAGGACTATCACAGTTGAGTAGTAAAGCAGTGAAGTTTTGACGAAGAGGACACACCGGTTATCGCTTGTCCAAAAGACAAGACGGATGGAAAAAAAGGGGGGGGGGGTTAGTCACTTACCGATGGCTACATTAACGTTTTCTAATGATACTTATTTTCCAGCTTACTTTCCAGGAAAGGACTATCACAGTTGAGTAGTAAAGCAGTGAAGTTTTGACGAAGAGGACACACCGGTTATCGCTTGTCCAAAAGACAAGACGGATGGCATAACTTAAGACCATATTGGACAAGCGACCGAGCTTACTGTGTTAGGGAAAGATCAGTTACCACACCTATATGTAATGACGTGATGTATGATTTCCACTGAATTAAATGATCAAAGTCCATTTGAAAGTAATGTAATATGGGCACAGCTAACGCAAATGTACGCAGCTCCACTGACATTGGCCTTGCTGTATGCTAACAGCTTCTCGTCTTTTTCACTGGAGTTGCAGAATACTGTAACCACAGAAGCTTATAAACTGCGGTGATTAGCTAATGCTATCCAAGGAAATTAATAAATGCAAACGGATCGCAGGATTCCAGGATTGGGTATCTTATGAATTCAAAACAGACGTCACTCGGAGCACCTCAGTGCAACAAAACTTGTCTCCTTACCGGCGTGTTGGTCTGTGGATTCCTCGTATAGGTTGATATCGACGTCCTTCCCTTTGCCTCGCACATAGCTAGCAACTGCCCAGTCCGACACATCTGGCCATTGTGTCCCATCTGCACTCAGTTTCGAAGAATCCACGGTTATGATCAATTGAGCTTCAATTATAGCCTTTTCCTCCTCAAGTTCGTAGTTCTTTACAACGCAGCTCACAAGAGCCTTTTTCTTCTGTCCTTTGCATCCAAGGAGCTGTTTTGAAAGGAGAATATGTTACGGAAATAGACCGAGAAACTGATTTCTCTGAGAAACGCACGAGCTGTTGAACGTCATACGTCTCATGCACCATGACACTGAACTGATCTTTCAAAATCAGTGGCTTCACATAGGCGTAAAAATAACAAATTAGCAGTCCCAAAAATTTGGATGCATTACTGAATGATGATTATGAGAATATTGAAGTGGATTTTCTCGGGCCATTCACTATTGGTTCTTCTGAACAACTGTTACCTTATGTCATTGTATATATTACGTGGACACAGGTAATCTCGTAAAAACCATTGCGGGGGAATCACAGACAAAACCATTCATTGACTTATCAAGTTAAGACTGGTTTTATCCACCCAGATGGCTGAACTGTTTGTCTAAAAACATTGAGGTTTCTCCTGGACAAGTAGCGATCACGGTTGCATCTAAGAAGTTGAAGCATGAGTTGCGGATTTGAAGCACAGTGCCACATAAAATCTCCGTACATGAACGGGCTTGGTTTGAAGCAAGAGTTGCGGATTTGAAGCACAGTGCCACATAAAATCTCCGTACTGAACGGGCTTGGTTTTGAAGCAATGCTTACATTTGTTTGTTGCATTTAATAGTGTTTTGCTTATTGAAGGAAATCAGAATGTCCTCTACCAAATCGCTGGTGATTTTCCCATACGGGTAACAGGAATTTGGATAAAAGGAACCAAAGTGGATGAAGGTGTGATCGGATATAACACTATAAAACACAACATCAGAAACCAAGAAGTTAGTTAAAGCTTGAGATTTTTACTAAAGTAATCCCAATATAGTACGAGGTGATATCCTCAAGCGAATCTGGTCGGTTAGCACGCTGGCATTTTGAGTTATTTCCACAGTGTTGTTACCATGTGCGACAAGCAATGCAAACCATATTGATTGAGCATCACGGCATTAGACCTTACAACAGTTGCAAGCGATAACAACATATCGTCAAACAAGCAATAACCAAAATTGAGGCTGTTCTGAGGTAGGGACAACACATTTCCTTACTTCTTCGCACAAATATGGGGCAATGAATAACTGCGGACTTCCTTGAACCTGAGTCTGCATAAATGCTGCCAATGCGCTCTTTCCGCTAGGCATTTTTGCAGAAGCCACCGCCACGTAACCTGAATTAAAGAAGGAGGAATTGAGTGCAGGGATTAGTTTCGTGTGCTTTTCTTTTCGTTTCTCATAAAATCCCACTGAAGACAGTTGGCAATTTAGTGATGTTACCCAAAAAAATTATTAAGCAACTGAATAAACGCTAGTACATAAGTCCATGCACGATCCACAAGGCAACGTCAACGCACAAAACTGAAATAAAGCGTCAACGAACAACCGGCGTACTACATGACATTAGGATCTTTAGAGCTTTATACGCATCACTACCGTTGGAGTAAGGAATTAGTAAGTTCATCCCAGAATGAAACTAACCAAATAACTGCAATTACCCGTGGTTTTGAAGTCACAGTTTGGCTGAAATGTTTTTGTTTTATTTAGATTACTTTATTTGTTTTAACATATCCGACTTCGTCGCAACTAACCAAGTTCAACTACACTGGAGCTTCTGGATCAGGACGTTTCGTGGTTGCAACAACTTTGGTTCCATTACGGTTTAGATGTAATACAAATTCATGCCACCAGTAGGAGATGGGATGAGAAACTTAATGAAACACTGCTAAATTGGTTGATCATCCTAGTGAAGAAGCATCTCTGGCTAAAGAAGGATTCACATTGTTAGAATATCAGATTATCTAGGACCGGTTGCTTGCATGACTCACTGTGCAAAGTTGGTTCAACGGCTGTACCCTCTGAAAACGGATTTTTGAACAGACGTATTAACTGACAGTATGATTCGCACTTTATCCATGTGTGTCATACGTTTTAACATGGGTGGAGACATACGGGATACCGTACATGCGACTAGAATATATGTGAACAGTGAGTAGAGTAATGCTGTGTGTGTGTGTGTGTTGGCCACAGTTGCCTCAAATCTGTCAGAAAGTCACTAAAACATGCTTGGACGGACTGATGTCAGGGGTGTTTTTCACTTTTTCGGTAAACCGTACTTTTATACATTGCGGTCGTAGTTTGCTTTGCACTGTGAAAATTTATGCCAAAATATATCAGTTTCTGCTTTCAAGAAGGTTTTTGACTATTGAACATTCAGTGGGTGACCACACCAGCTACTAATGGGCTTGGTATTGTCAACTTAAATTGTCCCCGAGTTCTTTCACTCCCTGGAAGACCGTATGGACACAAAATTTGTGGAAATTCTGATGCCAGCAGCAGGTTTGATCCTGTCAGAAGCGTTGCCGGAGTAATCCAGGCAAAGCTTATCCTGACGTTGCACACGTACGGGGACTGCCGTCCACAACTTTTTGGACTGAATAGCATTTGTCTTTTGAAAACTGATGTCCCGTATCGCTCCAAAGGAAATGAAACTCTTGCCTTTCCGGCCATCTTGAACCTCGTGGGATAAAATTAGTTTATGGCACAGCACCAAGAACGACATGGGTATCACCATGTGGTTCCGGACTAAAGGCAAGGCTAAATAAGCAATGTTTTCTTACGTATAATTTTAGCTCGTCTGCAATCGGTTTATGAAATTGCGATCAGAGCAACGTGGTCGTTTATTAATATTTTTTCTGGACACCAGTGCATGTTCAAATGCTGTTTTTACAGAAAGGTGTTTTGCTACTGACTAACTTACCACTTTTACTTTACGAAAAAACTACCGAGGAAAACATCTGCACACATTTTTAAAAGTAGGCGCTAAACATACTGAGGTAATAACATTATCCAGTCTAGATAGCTATACACAAGAAAAGTCAGCTCATAACTTACCCTCTTCTTCATCTACTTGTTGGAATACAATGGGGAAACATACATTTAATAGCTTTAAAGCTAGTTTGTTCTGATGAAAAAAAAAGAAAAAAACAGGTGACATGGAATAATACACCTACCTGGTCCGCTGATCCATGCAATGTTTACGGAGCACTGATCTGTGTACGCTCTCTTCAGTTTCTTAATGGTATCAAACTGTTTCTTGTATGGATTGATCTTATATCCATTGCCAACGTTGACACAAGCTGTGGCACTGCCAGATTTCTTTCCTGCGCTACCGAATCCCACAAAATGGTGAACTGTAATTTCCCCAGTCATGCTGTTGCTTTTATCTGTGATCTGAATCGTGACAGGTGAGAAGAGTCAGGGTAGCCTTATACAGGATGAACATGGGTTATTAGGATAAAAATAATCATGCGTTCAATGTAAAAAAAACAGATAAACCATGCGTTTACAGAAAAAATAAAGTCATCGCCATCAACTTGTGTTTATTTGTAGGTATTTGCAACCATAATATAAAATTTCGGTAATTTCAAATAGATAGACTCAGGTGTTATTGAGGCATTAATTTCGGATTTTTTAAGAAGAGAGCTTCAACAAGGTAGTCCTGAGGCTCTTTAATGTTTTACTCTAAATGGCATTGTGAGGAAAATGAAAATGAAAATAAATATGATATATAAGGAAAGGGGCAATTTTGCAAGTTTTTATGATGATGACATATTTGTTGGTCAGTGGGACAGGTCAGCAGCTAAATACGCAAGAAAAACGCGTTCTTTTTTAATTTAGAATGGGAGGCGAGGAGGTTATTTCTGGTGAGAGAATAGACTTTCAGCAACTAACCAGGCGCCGTTTGGGACGATGTGATTAGGCATGATGTATAAGTTTTGCTCAACATCTTGCTACAGAGTTTCTATCTGCGTTGCATCATTACACCATACATTACACTTGTTTGGACAGTCCTTCTTTATTGACGCAGTTATTCAGGAGTGCACAAGGAAGATGGAAAGCAACAATGCTATAGTCTCATCAGAACAAATAGCCCAGGACAAAAAAGAACCTTTCAATTCGAATTTATATTGATGGGAATCGTACGGGGCTCGTTAACACTTACAACTACTCCCATAATCTGATCAGTATCAATCGGTGTGGATTTTCACATACTGATAATGAGCCAAGAAATTCGGAATTAGTCGGGTAAAGAGGGGGTTACAATGGGACTATAAGGATATGGTCTCTATCGCTGTCATATTGGAAACAAATATCCAGTGCATTTGGTAATATTCTGTAAAATGGCCCACTGTGCAGTGTTATCTTACCGCGGCTACCAGTGCTGCTTGTGCGTCCGCAAAATCGGAAGTATCCGGAGTCAGATCTGCAGTTTTACTTGTCTCCAAATCAACCACGACAGCTGGCAAATTAGAAGAAAATCGAAGTTGAATTATTTCATCTGTGGGACAACGCACTATCCAAGGAACAAAAAAAGTGGGTGCATTTTGGTTTGCTAAGCTGAAGGGCCTAGCTGTCCAAAGCCTTTGATCGGTGGCTTTTTTACACTTTCCAATTTGTTCGCATTTTGCTAATATAAGAACCAGATTTCGTTCTTTTCCATCACTGCGTCGATACTGCTACAAATTTGGAAGTAACCTTGAAGAGCACTACAGACTACCGTATGAACATAGTTACCCAAATAAGAAATTATCCACGGTGTACCGTTCCGAGAATTCAGGAAGAAATCTACAAAAACGTACCCTGGTCATATCTAAGTAGTTCTTTTCATAAATCAAGAAAATCATATTTCATTTGGTCTTATTGTGTGAGTTTGTCACACAAGTGTCCCATTGGCTCCTTGTTATCTAAAATCTACTGGGAATCTTCAATCTGGGTGTCATTATTGTTGCCAGGTGTAATGATCTGACTGGTTTTGTCTGGTTTGCGTCCAAGCTTTCAAAGCAATTAAGTGATAATTTGGTCATGCAAATCAGGTGGGAAAATAAATATGTTAACCTAGAGACTGACTCCTAGGAGGGATGATAACCATCAAACTTTTTGTCATTTACCAGCAGTGGTTTGTTATTAGAACTGTAGTCCACGACTAAGCAGCATTTGGATAGATCGATACTTGTACATTTTACATCTTGGATCACAAAGTTTTGCCGCGACCCTCTCTCTCTAACTGGAGAATTCTCAAAAATCCGTCACTATGCATTTTTTCTTGGTATTAGGGCTGTTGTATTGTTTTCTCTAAAATTTATTCAACTACTGCACTAATTAAGGAAGGTAACCAGGAAAACTGACTTCAACAACTTGGATAGCGTTAGTATTTGTCTAGCTACTTTACTTATGGGGCTGATATTAATTACTTATTAGAAGTAACGCCCGTTTCAGCGATTGGCCAGTGGAAGACTGACGGCAAATTTGAACAGTGACTTTACCAGAGTATGGTGAGAGAGCAAGCATTTGGTCTCAGTTTGTGTGCTGAAACAATGGCTCAAATCACCCAACCGATTGTTATGGCTTGGAAAAACGCTGCCCCTGAAAGAAAGTTTTTTTCGATCTGTAAAATTACCGATTTAGTTTACCAAAGTCTTGTGCTTATTGTTTCTGTTTTGTAAGTGAGCATAAAGACAAAAGTCAAGTAGTCCTTCTCTCAGGCTCACTGTGACCCTTTAAACCTGAAGTATAGATTATTAGGTTGCCAGACTCCCTTCCTTGTAATAAATATAAACTGCAGGGACTGCAAATCAGGGTGATCATCCTTAGAAAAAGTGATCCCATAAGCCCGTAAATCGGGGACTAACTTAACTTCCAAAAACAATTCCGGTCGACTTCTTTCACTTTCGTCAATTGTTGCTACAGCTTTTCTACCGAAATACAGTCTACTTTGCAAAAATTTAAGGAAATGCGCATTAAGCTGCTGTAAACTCTTCGACAGAAACAGTATGTCTACTCCATACAGTGCATTGCGATATCTCGAATATCGCAGCAGCCGAAAAATTAGGCTCGTCCGCCGGATTGAAGACATGATAAACAAAAGATCCAGCTGGATTAGAGGCGAGTATTTTGTGAAAACCATATTAGTATGCAAATGCGTCTATAAATTGAAAGTCTACATTTTTATTTAGCAAAACTGGGTTGAGGAGATATATTTAAAGGTTTTACTTTCTACGCGATATTCATTCTTCCGGTACAAGTTTAAAATCTCTTCTATTTTAACCCCTCCTTTGAATAACACTACCGTAACTAAAGTCAAGCGTTTTAAGTTGTAACTTACTCGCTTCACTTCCTGTGCATTTTCCGGAAGTCTGGCCTTTCACTTTGATAGCCAGTGGACAGCTTGAGGTCGTTGCTCCGAAGGCCCTAAGCATGTCCAAAATACGGAAGTGCTTGTTGGACATCCAAGTTCTGGTTATGTAGGTTGGATCACCGTCAAGCATCAGGCCGAGAACTCCATGTAAATCCCGATTCTCTTGGTCGTAGTCAAACCATAATAAGTCCTTAGTCCCAAAGTACTGATAGAGTTCACTGGACGCCATGGATTCCAGCTGAGGAATTCAATGATGGCAAAGACGGATATGGTAGTCAAACAGACAAACGGAATTCACCAGTTTGTACACAACTAAACCACTTTCAAGTGGCTGGAAAAGAGCGGCATTCAATAGTTAGGTTATCGTCCGTAAAATTGAGTTCAGTGATAACATAGACAAAAAATCTAGCTCTTCGTCATTATTCCGCTCGGTCGACTAAAACATTCTACTAGCTACTCTTTGGGGGCTAAGGAAACATTTTTTTCTCCATACAACTGAAGCAAACGATCTCTTATTTTAGGTTTGTTTCGGTGTCCAACTTAGTACAAAAATAGCTGAAAAACAACTATTAGAAAACCTATGAAATTTACCTAGCTCCACTGTGATATATCTAGCCGTAAAGCTTGATAACATTTTTTATTAAAAAGACTTGGCATGTACTTATTATAGTTATATGTAAAATTTTGATGTGTCCTCAATGTACCTTACTTGTTTTTATGCTTGACCACAAAGCTGTAACATTTTTGGGCAATTTGACCCAATGTTGTAAAAAAGTGTGGTACTGCAGGGTTACAAGTTTTTTTTCTAAAATCCCAGAGTCTCTAGTGTTAGCGACTAGAGATGGGCTTTCTCTAAAAGTAGCTTCATTCCTGCGCGCGTGGAAAACGAAATAAAATCTTGCTGGTAAATATGGGTCAGAGTAGATAACTAACCTCTTTATCAAGTATTGTCAAGACTTCTTTCTCTCCATAGCCTTGTTGCTCCGCGAAGAACCCAGTGTACATTTGTTTCGGTGTCAGCTCACTTGCAGTCAGATACACAACGACATCTGTGATGTTGAAGCAAAATACAAGACAACTGTATGTCTTCAAGTCATGGGCCGAAGAAAAAAACTATGATATACGGTATGCGTTTTGACACCGATCTGATCATTAAGATTCGCCACTGTGCTACTAGTCTACGATTGCTTCTAGGACAGTTTCGCTTGTCCAAGCGGCGACGCATCAAACGTGGAAAACAGATTTAAATCACCCTATTAGATTCTTAGAATAATCTATAGAAAACTTGTTTTTTTTGTCAGCGATGTACTAGAGCGAGAGAGGAAGGCATGCACCGAAAATTCCATATGATTTCTCGCCGTGCACCTTATCCTACTACGATCTGTTTACTTAGAAAAATTGACTAGAAGAAGCTACCGGGCAAAAATTGATCATGTAGGCTTCCAAAGTTGGGAAATTATCACTTACCATAACTGTGTTTGGTGGAGGCTGAAAGAGTTTTGAATTTTTGAATCGAACTTTTATTAGCTGTAATACTACTACTATCCTTTTAGTGCGCATTTAAACAAAAGACTGCAGAGCATTAGTGTAGTTAGAACTTAGCATTTAGGATTCGTCAGTCGTGAAATAGACCATGGGGTTTGTCTTTCACTGAAAGGATACTTTGTCCTCAAAAGCTGATCGAAATAGCATTTTTTACGGACAAAATACTGCAGACGACTATATTAGATGAAACGTAGTGCATGTAACAGACGGTTGCTTTCTCAAGCTCACCGGAATCTTGACAGCTGGGTTTGGGTTAAAGTATTGGGGTGTCGGTGCTCGGTACAAGTTGGGCTTTCAGGCTGCTTGCATCGGCATCAAGTTAGATTGATAGGGAAATTGCGCCCTCCTATTTCGATCGTTAACAGGACTCTGTACGAAGACATTACTCGCTCATTTTTAGATGCGGTTACAACGATCAACTCAGGTAAGTGGGTTGATAGAATTTGGCAGGTTATTTTGCTACATCTTCCATTGTGGACCGTCTTTACCAACGTCTTATGGATGCAACTGGCAAACCTGAGCTTATTTTTCTACAACAGTCTAACAAGTGAAGTTTGGCTGGACAAGATACCCAATTACGCTTGTTTGTTAAGCGAAATGTTCGTCAAAAAGGAGTGACAAAGGGTACGTGTTTAGAAAAACAGCACTAACTATCTCACAATGGACGGATTGGGTTGTCAAAAATGGATATGTCTAGGAAGAAATGGCTTCATTTAGAAGATCAAAGTGAGTTGTTGAAAACGTTATTAAGTATCGAAATTCCTCTTAATAAAGATCACAATGACCAGTAGATGAATGTGTGACATGGCTGTAAGCTTTTCTTTTGCAACAAGAAGCTTTCTTTCCCAGAGTTTACGCATACTTGTTCAATTAAAATAAGGTGAGCAAACTTGCAGAATTATGCACGCAAAATATGTTACGTTACTTACGACGCTTTATGGATGCCAACGCTGCAGGGAGAAAATACGCATTGTCCTCCTATAAACTGGCGTTTCAGATTAGGGCAATGCAAACTTGTGGTAACATTCAAAAGGCGTGAACCGTCTGTGCAAAGTGTATTTTTCAATTCTTGGTTTTTACGGTAGCATGGAACGTATAAAATTATACAAGAGTTTAAATTTAGATGACGCTAACTCCCTTGTCTAATCTTATTTTATCCAGCGTTTGTCCTAGCTTATCGAGCAGTTCAAGCACGCCAGTCGGGGGTAGTTTGCGAATTGGGATATTTTCTTAGTAGCCACCTAAACACAAGCATCTCGATGTGCTTTTTGTCCATTTACCACGAGTTGCTCCCAACATACCATTTACAGCCATCACTTTGTCGAGTTTGAATGTTGTGAGTTGTGCCTTTGTAGAGTTACATGGATGCAAAACAATGTCGTTTGTTTCCTAATGTTTCACGTTGAGCCCCTTGAGGTGTGTTTTCGAATCTCTTGGCGCAGTAGTCACTGATAAGCTAGACTTAAAGTTATAAACTCGTTATTTTTAGAAACTGCCGGCCGTTTTCTGGACAGACAGCGAGCACTTTATAGCTTTACTTGCAAAATCCACAAGTGCAAATAAAAACATTAATAACTTTACACTCAGATGACACAGGACAGACCTTGGGGTAAGGTGTTCCCTCCAAGTGCTTTAGCAATCAAAAATGTAAAAATTTCGTTCACCCACCAAAAAATTGTCTACGTTTCTCACTTCAGTTTGTAGTAGAATGATTTAGAATGAGTATCTCCGAGTAAATAAAGTTGAATATGACTTACGTTTACCAGCTGTAGGATAAAGTGCAACATGTTAGCGTCGGTGAATTCGTCCCCAGTGACTAAGCTGATAAGTTTGGCAAGGTTTAATTCTCAGAGGTCGTCCGAAAACCTAAGCGATTGCGTTTTGACAAGCAGCTGACAAGCAGCACGCTTAGACTGGATGAAGAGCTGAGAAAATGGTTGAGAAAACAACAGAACCACAGGCAATGCTTACCGGCGAAGCAAATGGCCACAGCCAGTAATAAACTGACTAGACCGTAGGACGATGACATTGTAGAACGAATAGAGCGCAGTCAATCCCATAGTCTTATTATACTTACACCTAAGTGACCTTCAAAAATTCTGCTGTTATGATTGGTTGTTCAGTTTCCACATATCTAGGTAACTATAAGTCGTCCATCTGATGATAAACATTGCGGATTGGCTACCACGACCATTGCGATTGGATCGTGCTAAGGACAGACGTCAAGCAGGAACAGAATACACAAGTATTCACGTACCAACTTCGAAAACGTGATACATTACACTTTCCTTAAGACCTACTTAAACCGGATTAGTGGTTTTACTGTGTCCTTTGACTTTTGACAGATCTCTCATCTAAAACTTGTTCATAAACACTCGTTGCTTTAACATCAAATCTTCTCAATATTTCTATCAAAATATGCGGTGACACTCTAAGTAGAAAACGGCAGAACCTAAACGAAAAAGAAGCTTAATCACAAGCCTATATCTAAGAGAAGACGGTTGAAGGTAAAGCGGCCTGCATAAAAGAAGGATAGGAAAATAGCATAAAAATAACGCTTGTCTGTTCACCACAACCAACAACTTTGGAAAAATGACCTTCAGAAACCAGGAAAAAGTCTATAAAAATGCTTGACGATCAACAGTACCCTTGTATTTTCATATCTTTCCCTCAGCTCTGCCGGTGAAGAGGTCAGTAGTCAAGTCATTCCTCAAATAGGGGATACATTTTACTACTCAGTGTCTATCTGATATCTCTCATCACGAGTGCGCAGATGATCACGATTTAAAGCCCAATTTTCTCACTCAGATTTCCAGTTACTCAGCACCAAAGGGGCAGAACAGATGAACACCAACTGGTAGACAAGGGAAGACAAGTGTAGATGAGCAAAGAAATTACTTCATATGTCTTCGATATTTACAGACAAAGTTAGACTGCAGTGGAGTAAATACATCAAATAGATTTCTTACTAAGGAACAGCGCTGTTGATTGGGAAACCGCTTGAATTTGCACCAACTAAATTAGTTATAAGGGCAAGGAATAAAAGTATTACTGTTGAATTTGGAGTCCACAAATCTCCTTCAATAGAAGCATGGAAAACCGCGGATGCAGTCAGTCACTGTCCCTAAATCTTCACGCTTAGAACTCCAGAGATTGCACCGACAGTGAAGATAGCTCTAAATACCCCAAAGCAGCTAGACAATATATTGGTTACAGAGGCATACACGGGTCGGCCCACTGTTTCTATGAGCGAGAACGGCAATGTGCAGACTTTCAAACAACGCCTAGATGATAGATTTTCATGGTAGACCAAAAGCCAAAACGTCACGCCGATAGTGATTTAAAGTTGGAATTTGCGGACATTTGTGACTCTTGGGCATTTTATATTATTTGTATATAAACATCGCAATCCAAGCATAGCTTTACGCACTTCTGGAAACGCACACCTCAGACACCTCTATGGGACTGATAAGCGGAAGAAAATTTCCCGATCCAATAACCTCGCTGGGTTCTCGAGAGACTCAACTGAATCTCTCGTTTATGATATTCTACAACTGAATTTGTTGCACACAGGCCGCCTCATAATTCAGTCGGCACGATATTCGAGATGTTCCAATATATTTTCATAAAGGAAACTACTCACAAAGTTGCTGAAGACTCTTTGACGGCCCACGACCGGTTCCGCCTTTCTTGGGGCTCATCAGGTAGATCCAGCCCCGAGTGTCTGCCCCAAGAAAGACGAAACCGGTCGTGGGGTGTCGAAGAGTCTTCAGCAAACTTGTGTGCATTTTCCTTTATGAAAATATACTGCGATATCTCGAATATCGTGCCAACTGAATTATGATGCAGCCAGTGTGCAACTCATTTAGTTTTAGAATATCCTGAACAAGAGATTTAGTTGAGTTCCTCGTGGAAACCAGATTGATTCGCCAATGGGCGTATTTCTCAAAAACATCCGATTTGGGTTCAAGTAGAATATATTGACGGAAACTCGGGGACTGCGCCTACCTGATCAGCCTCAAGAACGGAGAAGCCGGTCGTGGGCTGTCGAAGACTGTTCAGCAACCTTGTGAGTAGTTTCCTTTATGAAGACTGATTTCTTGTTTGTTTCAGTGTTTGTTCGTTAGACACGAATGTGATAGCGGTCTAGAAACAAATGAGCAGTTGTTATGGACAGACCGGACACTCGGAAGAGACATAGCTTACCGTAGAGGAGATACTGAAAACTTAATAGCTAAACTCCAACCACAGAGATTCCGACTGCGTGATTACTGCTTAGAAACATCGTCTAGCTGTGGGATCTTACGCTTCAGAAAGTATATTCGTGAGGGATTGGCCGGATTCTCGGGTTAATGGAAAATACTTTGGGCTTGCTTAGATGGCGCCTGCATCGAAATATGACGAAATATGACCGAAAAATTTTGCAAACTTTTTAACAACACCTTTAACGTCTTAGTACACCAGATGTGGTCTAGATGTAGGCGTTCAACCTTTTTAGACGTTTTAGCGTATAGGATCGACTAATTATCAGTGCCTGAAGCCAACTGACACTAAATAAGCTGCCCATTGTACTGCGGTAAGCGCTAGTATTACTTCGTCAATGTTTAACCTGGTGAGGTTGGTGTGCACAAAGTAAGTTGATCGGACAAGATCGGAATCCACAGGAAAACAAACTTCAAGATAGCGCATACCCAGCCAGTTATGTAAGGCGTCTTGTACGTACGGAAAGACTAAAAGTGGTATAGACGAGAACCGTGGTTTACCCATATAAATCGGAGACATATAAACTTAATCCAAAGGGCCTTGATCAAGGCCAATCAAAGGGTGGAATTCCAGAAGAAAATAACTTTGGGCTCTACACTGACAAAGCCTGAGACTCGTCTGCAGGTGGATGAAACTATAACGTGTAAAGCTAATGCCAATACGAAATAGATGTCTAGAAGACTTTGTGCTACAGACGATGAGCGCAACAAACAAATCGCAAGGAAACTTATATAAATATCAAGTGCCAGTCTAAGACTCGGCATTGGCAGGACATAACCGCATACGGGACACAAATCCTGAAAATGTTGAAGTTTTGACACGAGGAATACTAGTTACGACACAGAGACTGAGGGCCGAGTCAGGGGAAATCCTCAGACATTTAAAAAATGATGAGTGTGCGGAAGGTGAATGTAAATGATTATGCCTGACACTGTGGTGTGTGTTTACTGGATAACGGGTTTCATCAACGGAAATTAGCTGAAAATACATTTGAAGTACAAAACCCAAGCTAACCAAAAGTTCACGCAATTCACTCAGTAAGTGAATTGCCATAGCAATGAGCCGACAAAATTCACCACTGTTCCTGAGTAGAAATAATCTCTTGAGGTGTTCTGAACCAATCTTGCATGTCCAGCAGGAAGTAAAGTAAGATAAAGTAAAGTAAAATACAAATTTAAGGTAAATGCGTCTCTCAAAATGTCGTCATTTTTAGCAGCCATCTGGAAGGGACGAAAACTGCAAGCTGGTAGCCTATGCAAACATTTGGACAAAAATAACTAGTGTATGCTTTTAAGTTTTATCAAATGAAATAATTTGGTCTTCAGGGTTTAAAGGTGACCTAAAAAAACTGTTCATTTCATGCCGTATGAGAGATCATGTAGCTTTAACTAGTGGGCTACACCTCAGTTTTGTGCAAAATGATGGTGCATTCAGATGGATAAAGTCGTGGTGCGCCATCTAATGTTCTTTGACACGGGGCTTTAAGCTAATGTTTAAGCAAGTAAGCAAGTAAGTAAGGGTTTTATACGGAGTAGAAATTCGAAGAACACGCCACAAGGCCTACGTTCGTGTCGGCAGAGATAGTTAGGTTTCGATGGGAAAAGATTACACGGTGTTGAGAATTTGGGCCTCAGGTTTTGTATCTGAGGAACCTAAGGTGGAAACAATGTTCGTTTTGATCACGGGGGACCGCTGGTTTTCTTTTCGGTTATATCTTGGTCTATAAAGGGCAAGGAAGAAATCTTTCAAGTCAAGCAGTTTATTTGGACTAATGAATTTCAACCGGTATTTTTTGCATAATAAATATAGGGAACATTTATGGAAACATTTATTTCCCTAGCAAAGATTGAAAGCTAAAAGAAAATGAAATATTGGGGGTTTTTGAGTGCATTCTTGTCTCGAAATCCAAAACTGCCGTCCAGCGTGGTACTTCTGCTTTCTCCACTTGCATCCATAATTGTCGACTTGAAGGTTGAAATCAAGATGCTTTTAATTGAGGAAAGTTGGCGTCAAACTCTTATTTTTCGTAAACTCGCAAAACAAAATGGTTTTGTTTAAAATACACACATTGTAAAGTTTATGGAGCTGCAGTTTATGATATATCATGGAATAAACCTATCTGACGTTTAGAAAAGTTGTTGCGGCCGAGATTTTATGGTTTTGCCATTGGTATATTCATCACATGTTTAACAGTCTTATTAGACCTTACAATGTAAACTTTGAATCGTGTCCAAACGGCGCACCAAAATATTTTCTTGGTGAGTTCAATTGCCAAAGTTAAAAAACAGCTACCACACTCTTAGACCTTACAATGTAAACTTTGAATCGTGTCCAAACGGCGCACCAAAATATTTTCTTGGTGAGTTCAATTGCCAAAGTTAAAAAACAGCTCACCGCACTCTACGGTCCTGAAACTGTCCCTTGTCCCGCTCGTACATACAGACTAACTTCTTCTGTTCTTTACGAGGCAACTTCATATAATTTTAATGGAAAGAAATCACCAAAAGTTATTTTGCTACTTACTGAAGCCTCTCAAGGGAAGGTTGCTAAACACATCTGGTTTAGTATCTACTTCAGGAAGTAAAATAAAGCCCGAGTGGTGTTTGGACGCCCATTGTTAGATTTAAGCTAAAATCAACAAGAAATTTTGTTTTAACCGAAGAAAAAATTTATCTAGTGTGCTGAAACCAGGAGTTTTAGCGGGACGTTGAGGACATTATCACAAAAAACTCGGCTGCAGTAAAACGTTCCTCTGAAACGCTACAA